CCTGCCACTGTTTGGAGTAGACCTCAAGTATTTATTGAATAAATGTTTCCTAATTTCCATTCCCACTGACTGTACTTAAATTGAAGCTTTCATTACTTTGTAACTGGCCTTCCTATCGTTTTGCCCCTTCCAGTTAATCCAATAGCATCACCATCATCAGTATTATCACTTTCCTCACAAATAACAGCTATCATTTATTTGGTAGCTGTTTGACAATGCATCAGGCACTGTCATAAGCACTTTGCCGTAACATATCATGATCTCTATTTTACAGTTGAGGAAACTTAAGACACAGAATTAAGTGATCAGGTCAAGATCATACAACCATATAAGGATTTTTAAACACTCATGTCACCTTATTTTTCTAGAGCATTGTTTTTCTAGAGCATTGTTTTTCTAGAACCCTGTTGTCACTCCATTGCTCAGAAACCGTCAAAGTTTCCTGTTGTCTAAGGAACTGAAGTTCACATTCCGCAACTCCTCAGCCAGAAGGGCTCATTTCCAATCTACACACCTCCAATTTATCTCGAATTTTTCTTTTTGGTGAGAGAGAACCTAGGAGTCAGGAAACCTAAATTCTAGCCCTGGTTCTGCCACTCACTAACTTTGTCTCACGCGAGCATAAAATCTGAGCAAAAGTAAGTTGGTCAGACAAACAATTGGGTCTGAACACAATTGGGCTACAAATAAATGGTCCTGATACAGGTCTTCTGAGTGTTGGCAAGGCTTACAGGTACACAGTGAGATGTTTTATAGCCTTAATTTCCAACTCATTCTCAACTTATTATTTCTTCGAGATGTTTGTAATAGTGAAAAATTAGATAAATCTAAATGACCAATGATAGATGATTAACTAGAAAAACTAAATATCTAACAATAGGTTATTATTCGGAACAAACTAAATGTCTTTGGCCATTTTTTGTTCTTTTATGGTGAGAATTAAATTATAATGTGCATGAAAAGTAGTTTGTAAGTTAGAAAGTATCATATAAATGTTAGTTTACTTTTTTTTTTTTTTGGCCGCGCCATGAGGCTTGTGGGATCATAGTTCCCTGACCAGGGATTGAACCCATGCCCTCAGCAGTGAGAGCTCAGAGTCCTAACCACTGGACTGCCAGGGAATTCCCAAATGTTGGTTTCTTTATTGTCATTCGTTATGTTTCAACTTTAATTATAAAAATACTTCAGGCTCTACAGGTGATTCCCTAAAAGTTCCCAAAACACTTTGAGCAATTTGGCATCCGGGGAACTCCTGAAAGTATTTTATTTATTGATAGTTAATAGGGAGTGTTTATTAAAGAAATAATTAGAACTGAGTGCTTTGAGTTGGAGATAGACAGCTTCACTGAGTCCCAGCACAATGAATGAAAAAGACCCCCACTATGATGCATCATTATGGCATTTGGGATAAAAAGAACATGCTTCAGATCTTCCAAAAAGACAAAGCAGGTTACATGAAAAGGAACAAGAATCAGAATAGCACCAGACTTTCAACAGCAGTGTTCGGTGCCAGAAAACAATGAAGAATGCATTCATAATTTTAAAAGAAAATTGCAGCCTAGAATTCTCTCAGTTAAGGAAGAATAAAGACATTTATTTTATCTCCCATTTGCCCTTTATTATGAAGCTATTTGAGGATATGCTCCAGAAAAATTAGGAAGAAAAACAAGAAAGACAATGACATGGTTCTAAGAAATAGGGGATCTCCCTTAGGAGAGAGGTGAAATGTCATATTTCAGAATGACAGATGCACAATGGGTTAGAGATTTTCAGCCCAGATTAGAGAAAGAATTTCAGGAAAAAAGCCTCCATGAAAAAACAGATTCAGTAGAGTAATAATAGTTGATTGAACCATTTGAAATAAATTTTTTTTGAAAATCAAAAAGAGTTGAGGGACTTTCCTGGTGGCGCAGTGGTTAAGAATCCACCTGCCAATGCAGGGGACAAGGGTTCAATCCCTGGTCCGGGAAGATCCCATATGCCACGGAGCAACTAAGCCCGTGTGCCACAACTCCTGAGCCTGTGCTCTAGAGCCCGTGAGCCACAACTACTGAAGCCTCTGCGTCTAGAATCTGTGCTCCGCAACAAGAGAAGCCACCGCAATGAGAAGCCCGTGCACCGCAACAAAGAGTAGCCCCCTCTTGCTGCAACTAGAGAAAGCCCGCGTGTAGCAATGAAGACCCAACGCAGCCATAAATAAATAAATAAATAATTTTTTTAAAAAAAAGGAGTTGAATTACAGCAACATGATATGCAACATAAATAATTGCTATATTCATAGTGTGTTTGTTACTTGCCAAAAGCAGCTTTATGTAGCATATGTGTATTGTCTCATTTAATTCTCACAATAATCATGAGGTAGGTAATATTATTTTCTCTGTTTTAAGACAGAAAAACTGGGGCAAAAGGAAGGTTAGGTTGCCCAAGGTCATCCAGCTCATGTAAGTATTGGAGCTGTGGTTTGAACCTGGACAGCCTGATTTCAGAGCAGGGGTTTGTAGCTGTTATGCTATATAGGCAGGAGGTTGGAGGATACTTTTTTTGTGGACGCTGACCAATCCCAGGAGAAAGACCTGTAATACAGCCAAGTTACCATACAATGAAGCCCACTGTGCAGAAGCCCTACCTACCCACTTAGAACTTCCTATCAGCTCTTTGAAGGCAATATAAAATGTATCATTAATATTGGTAGAGAAATAAGAGAGCGTAATGCATTGGTGAAACAAGAACAGAATACCATAAAAAGGAACATTCAGAGGACAAAGGTCTAAAACATTGAGTATTGGGAATTCCCTGGCAGTCCAGTGGTTAGGACTCAGCACTTTCACTGCCGAGGGCCCAGGTTCGATTCCTGGTCGGGGAACTAAGATACTGAAAACCTTGAGATGTGGCCCAAAGGGAAAAAAAAAAAAACTGAGTATAATAGCAGAAATGAAAACCTCAATAGGTGGATTGGAGGATGAATTTGAGGATATTTAGAAATTAGAGCATGAAGGTAAGAGATGGAAAAGAGAAGAGAAAGGGTAAGAAAATTGGAAGACCAGTCCCGGTGCTTCAGCTCTAACTCTTAGGCATTTCCAAAGAGAACAGAGAAAATGGAAGGTAGAAAATCATCCATGAAATAACTCAAGGACATTTTATGGAACTGCAGGTTATGAGTTCTGAGATTGAAAGGGCCTGCTCAGGGCCCAGCACAATAGATGCAAATAGAGCCACACTGGGGAACATCACTGTAAAATTTCAGAACATTTGGGGACAGAGTTCTCGTAAGCTTCAAGGGAGAAATAATATAAGCCACATTAAAAGGATCAGAATTACTGGAAGTGACTTTGGATTTCTCACTGTTAGCACTGCAGTCTAGAAGCAATGCCTTCAGAATTGTGGGAGAAGGTGACTTCCAGCATAGACTAGAGAGTCTCTCTATCTCTCCCCCCTATACATAATCTATGAGGATTAGCTCTCATACACCCTCACGACTCTCTCCCAAACTTCCCAAGTATATAGCCTGAGTGTAATGGGGGTGTATGAGCTAATTTTCTTTGATCATGAGAGAAAGTAAATAGACACTCTTTGAATAAATTAAGAAATAATATTATAAGCACATAATATAGAATTACGATAGATTCGACCAGAAGAAATAGCTGAAAAAGTTAAAAGTGGTCGCCTCTTAGGGACTTGGTTGGAGGGGTTGGTGGGTGAGATATGGCCAATGACTGTTGCTTCCATTATGGGCCTTTTGTCACCCTACGATTTCAAATCTATATACGTGAATTCATTTAATTAAAAAAAAAATTTTTTTAATTTGTTTAATTTATTTTTTGGCTGCGTTGGGTCTTCGTTGCTGCCCACGGGCTTTCTATAGTTGCAGTGAGCGGGGGCTACTCTTCATTGCGGTGCGCGGGCTTCTCATTGTGGTGGCTTCTCTTTTTGCGGAGCACGGGCTCTAGGCGCGTGGGCTTCAGTAGTTGCAGCATGCGGGCTCGATAGTTGTGGCTCGTGGGCTCTAGGTGCGTGGACTTCAGTAGTTGCGGCACACAGGTTCGGTAGTTGTGGCTCATGGGCTCTAGAGCGCATACTCAGTAGTTGTGGCGCATGGGCTTAGTTGCTCCGCAGCATGTGGGATCTTCCCAGACCAGGGCTCGAACCTGCATTGGCAGGTGGATTCTTAACCACTGCGCCACCAGGGAAGCCCTAATAAAAAATTTTTAATAAAATTTTAAACTCAGTTGCCTTGCATTACTTCATTAGGGTCATGGAAGGATCAAATGGAATAACTGATATGGAAAAGAGTTTGTCCGTTGTAAACTGTTACTCAGTTGAAAGTGATAACATGACCATGTTGACTAAGAGGCAAAATACGGTTTTGAAGGACGGGTTGTTGGGGAGTTATATTTGGTGGATGATAATGTCATTGTATCTGTTAACCCGGCCACAATAGTGCAGTTGCAAAACAAACATTCATTTTTGCTCATGAGTCTAGGCTCAGCTTGTGGGTTTGCTGATCTGATCCAGCCTCAGCTAATCTCACCTGGACTTGCTTGTGCATCTAAGCAGATTGTCTGGGGTTTGGATGGTATAGGATGGCCTCAACCACATAGCTGATGGTTAGCTGTCTGTCAGCCGGAGTACCAGCTCTCTCCTGCAAGTTCTGTCATCCTCCAGCAGGCTAGCCTGGGTTTGTTTTCAGGTCAGGGGCAGGAGTCCAAAAGAGAGTGGGAGTGTACAACACCTCGAAGGCCTAGGCTCAGAATGGGAACACTTTCCCATGTGCCACATTGTTTGGGCCAAAGCAAGTCACAAAGGGTGCAAAGGAGATTCCATCCCTTTATGGTAAGAGCTGCAAATTCACATTGAAAAGGAAGGATGGAGAAAAGGGGCCATTTTTGCAATTCACCCAGCATAGTCAGTGAAGCTAACTATTTATTCCACCTCTTTGGAATGAGAACATGGAAAGACATCAGAAGCCCTGTAACTGAACTTACTTTCTTTTTCCTTTGTAGACAATAAGAGAGGTGTCAGAGTTTTCCATTTAGATCTACAACTTCAAATTCTCAGCATGGAAAACTCAGAGAAGACAGAAGTGGTTCTCCTTGCTTGTGGTTCCTTTAATCCTATCACCAATATGCACCTCAGGCTGTTTGAGCTGGCCAGGGACTACATGAATGGAACAGGTAGGAAGAGTAGCCAAAAGCAATGATGGGGTTCAGGATGCACTGCCCTACAGTACAGCACTTTGGCATATTGGATATTTTAAGCGGAAGGACTTTGATAAAACAGCGGAGGCAGGAAGGTCACTCTGGCCTCCTCCCTCCACCCCTCTTCCCTGAAGCAGATCGTAAAACGTTCACGTGAGAGGTGCTCTCCCTAAACCCGGAGAAAAGGAGCATCCTTATCTCTGAAGACAAAGGGAAGTCAAGCAAACATCCTTTGGTAAATTCCCCTGAGTTTTCTACACTTACCTTGTACTCTTTGCCCTATCGTATTCCGCCATGACTGTTTACCCTTCATCTAATCTAGCATAAAAATACAGTAAGTCCCTTATATAGAACAAGTTCCGTTCCAAGAGTGAGTTCATAAGTCCAATTTGTTTGTAAGTTCAACAGAGTTAGCCTAGGTACCCAACTAGCACAATTGGCTATATAGTACTGTACTGTAATGGGTTTATAATAATTTTCACACAAATAATACATAAAAAACAAGCAAACACAAAAAATAAAACATTTTTAATCTTACAGTACAGTACCTTGAAAAGTACAGTAGTACAGGACAACAGCTGGCATACAGGGGCTGGCATCGAGTGAACAGGCAAGAAGAGTTACTGACTGGAGGAGGGAGAGGAGGTGGGAGATGGTAGAGCTGAAGGATCGTCAGCAACAGGAGACGGAGGGCGAGCTGCAATGTCACTCACGCCTGACGCTGATGGCACAGGTTCTGGTTCCTTGGTTCCTCGTTGGATTCAATTCCATCTACCGTCTTGAAAAAACAATCTAGGTAGTAGCTCTTTTTTTCTCATCATAGATGACTTGGTAGCCCTGGATTGCATTCTGAACGGCTGCCGCAACCTTCGTGTACCATTCTATGTTCAGGTCCTATGCCTCAATAACTAACAGTGCCGCCTCAAATAAAGAAAATCCCCTTGCTATTTCCTGAGTCGTGAATCTCTTCAGTTACTTCTTCCTCTCCTCTCTCTTTGTCCTTTCTCTGGGCCTCCAATTCCATCACAGCTTCATTAGTAAGCTCCTTGTGTTGCACAGCAAGGAGTTCAGTGAAGTCGTCCTCTTGCAAATCTAGCTAGAAATAAAGATACTATACTACTGTACCCTTACAGTACTGTACAGTAAAGTACACAAAAGCACAACCACTTGTAGAGGATGAGGTGCACGTGACAGTGTACGCCAGACATGTTAACTAACTTATGTGATTGGACATGCGAACACACGTTCGCATCTTTGAAAGTTCGCAACTCGAAGGTTCATATGTAGGGGACTTACTGTACTTAGGTTTAACTGTTTCTTGGAGTCTTCATTTCCTTATGAAGGCTCCCGTGTCACATAAATCTTACATTATGTAAATTTGTATGCTTTTCTCCTGTTAATCTATCTTTGTCAGTTTCACACCCCGCCAGGGACCCTAAGAGGGTCGAGGAAAACTTTTTCTCCCCTACATACACACAGATTTATTTTGTTTTGTTACATAAGTGATCATGCTGTGTGCTGATAGGTGGATGGGTGTCCAAACTCACTAATGATCAGGGAACTAAAATAAAAAATGAGATATATTCTTCCCATCACATTGACACAAGTTTTGAAACTTGATAATGTCAAATATCAGGTGTTGGGAAGGAATGGGCTCTTGTGTATACAAATAGATTAAGGCTTTTTACAAGGCAGTTTGGCAACATCAATCAAAATTTAAACTGCTGAGGAATGGGGAGTCAGTGTTTGATGGGTACAGAAATTTCACTTGGGGAAGTTGAAAGAGTTCTGGAGATGGACGGTGGTGATGGTCGTACAACATGTCACAGTACTGTACACTTAAAATAGCTTAAATGGTAAATTTTATGTATATTTTACCACAATTAAAAGTAAATAAATAAACCTGGATCCCTATGAAAAAAGGAGGAGGGGGGAAATCTGTGATTATGAAACCATATTGATGATATTTCCTGTGCATAAAATCTAATTTGTTAATACCTCGTATCAAATCTGCTTCTTTACCCAGGGAAATATGAAGTTATCAAAGGCATAATTTCTCCCGTCGGCGATGCATATAAGAAGAAAGGACTCATCTCTGCCCATCACCGAGTTATCATGGCAGAACTCGCCACCAAGAACTCAAAATGGTTGGAAGTTGATACATGGGAAAGTCTTCAACAGGATTGGATAGAGACTGCCACGGTGCTAAGGTATCCATGGTGCAGTCAGCTTTGCCATGCCATTCCTGTGTGAGGTTATCACATGGTAACAGGGTGTGGGTGGTGCTCAGCCTTTATGGCTGTCACTGTGTTTTGAGATGTTTGCACACTTGTTAACTGTATATCCCTATTAAAGAGTAGAGGAAGCACACCTGGCCTGTCCGTGCCCCAAGTGAGAAAGGTAAAGTTGTAAGATGATGTTACTGTGGTCAGTCTTCTTAAGTATAAAAGAGAGAGGCAGGTAATTTAAGGAAGAGAAGCCATGATGCTTGATCACGGAGAGAGCTGGTTTTGGGAGCTGCTTCCCTGACAGCATATGGGGGTTGTCACAAATCGCTGTGCTCAGAACGCTGAAACAGCTCCAGTTTAAGGGTTCAGAAACCAGAGTGAGTAACATCTAATTATTGCTGAATGTTCTCTTGAGTATAAAACACCAGGACTTTTGGAAAAACCTGTCTAATGTCTGTTCTTAGAGTTCGAACCTTCTGGTTCTAACCATATCAGTTAGGGTTACGATAGGAAATAGAAACCACTCTGAGCATTTTAAGCAGAAAGGGATTTTAGATGCTCATGCAGAAATGTTGAAAGGGCTGGAAGAGTAGAAGTGGTGGCTTGTTTCAAGGTCATGCCTCCTTAACTGCAGTTGGAGTCAGGAAACTGTTCCTGCTTCTGCTGCCAACGATGCTGCTCTTAAACTGTCCCAGTCTATAGGGTCTGGCCACCACGCTGACATGGTAAGAGATTACTTGTCGGGGTCCAGTATATACTTGTTTGCTTTTTATGTATTATTTGTGTGAAAAGTATTATAAACCTATTACAGTACAGTACTATATAGCCGATTGTGTTAGTTGGGTACCTAGGCTAACTTTGTTGGACTTAAGAACAAAAAAGTCCAACTTTGTTGGACTTATGAACGTGCTCTCAGAAGGGACCTCATTGGTATTTAGGGGACTTACTTTCTGTAATCAATGTTAACGCTTGTTTTTATGACACAGACACATACAGCTTAGAATAGTAATAGCTACCATTTGCTGTGCTCCCAGGATTTTCCTTGCTTTCCATTCTTGACAGCCAGAGCCCAGGGCTGCCAGCATCCGTTCCGACCCAGCAGTACTATGTATTCGAAGGCATCCATTCTGAGTAGTTGGGCATCGTACCTGTGGTTAAATGTGTTTAACAGCTCCCAACCTTTAACATTGCATCAGAGGCTCTTAGGCGTCTCCAGAGGGATGACGTTTCAGTTGAGCATAGTGACAAAGAGAAATGTTCTATTGCTTTGTTGCTTTATAGACACCATCAAGAGAAGCTGGAAGCCAGTAGCTGTGATCAGCAGCAGGACTCACCTGTACTGGAAAGGCCTGGACGGAAGAGGAAGTGGGCTGAACAAAGACAAGATTGTAGTCAAAAGAAATCACTAGAGCAAACAAAAACAAAAGGTCTGTATGTTTTGCCAGTACTTACCAATGATAGCTGATAAGACTCTAGAGCTGAGCAAGCCCCCTTTGTATTTTACTTTCATATTCAGTATGTGTGGGTGCCTGGAAAATGCCCCTTGTTAGTTTTCTTTTCTTTTTTTTTTTTCCCCTTTGGCTGCACTGCACAGCTTAAGAGATCTCAGTTCCCCGACCAGGGATTGAACTCAGGCCATGGCATTGGAAACCCGGAATCCTAACCACCAGGCCAACAGGGAATTCCCCACCCCTTGTTAGTTTTATGATGGAAGGAGGGGAGAGTCAGAGGCACCCTGAGCTTATTTATCCTGCAGGAGGTCGACCTTAACTTTTGAGGGATCCTGAATCTCTTTTTAGAGAATCTGAATCTGATAGAAACTATGAACCCTCTAGCCAGAAGAACACACATACGCATTCATTTTGATGCAGGGCATTATTAAAAAGGCAAACCCTGGGACTTCCCTGGTGGCACAGTGGTTAAGACTCTGCACTCCTAATGCAGGGGGCCTGGGTTCGATCCCTGGTCCAGGAACTAGATCCCAGATGCATGCCGCAACTAAGAGTTTGGATGCCACAACTAAGGAGCCTGCAAGCTGCAGCGAAGAAGCCCGCCTGCCACAACTAAGACCCGACACAACCAAATAAATAAATAAATATTTTTTTAAAAAAAGAAAAAAAGGCAAACCCTGAAGCTCTGTTTTCTTCTTCTTCCCAGGTGTGCCAAAGGTGAAGTTGCTGTGTGGAGCAGATCTCTTGGAGTCCTTTGGTGTGCCCAATCTGTGGAAGGGTGAGGATATCACCAAAATCGTGGGAGACTATGGGCTTATATGTATTACTCGGGCTGGAAATGATGCTCAGAAATTCATCTATGAATCCGACCTGCTGTGGAAACACCAGAACAACATTCACCTGGTGAATGAATGGATCACCAATGACATCTCATCCACAAAGATCCGGCGAGCCCTCAGAAGGGGCCAGAGCATTCGCTACTTGGTACCAGACCTTGTCCAGGAATATATTGAGAAGCATAGTTTGTATAGCTCCGAGAGTGAGGAGAGGAATGTTGGGGTGATCCTAGCTCCTTTGCAGAGAAAAACTGCAGAAGCTGACACATGAGAAATTCTCCAGCATGGTATTGTGGACTTTCCTTTTGGGAATTTGAAACAGTGTGGGTGTTAGTAAATGGGGGAAGGAATTGTGATCCTCTTTAATAAATTAAAGTTTAAAAGGTTGGTAAAAATCAGTAGTAATTTAAAATCAGGTTTATCTTTATCAGAAGTTACTAAGGTGAATGATTTCAATTTTTTTTTTAGGAGTATACAAATCCCTTTATCTTTAAAACAAGAGATTAGTAGCAGAGCTAATTGTAGAAGAACATTATAGAAGAACATTTAATATACAAATCCCTTTATCTTTATTTTTTATTATTATTATAAATTTATTTATTTATCTTTGGCTGCATTGGGTCTTCGTTGCTGTGCACGGGCTTTCTCTAGTTGCGTCGAGCTGGGGCTACTCTACGTTGCGGTGCGTGGGCTTCTCATTGCGGTGGCTTCTCGTTGCGGAGCACGGGCTCTAGGCGTGTGGGCTTCAGTAGTTGTGGCACGTGGGCTTCAGCAGTTGTGGCTTGCGGGCTCTAGAGCGTAGGCTTCAGTAGTTGTGGCACGTGGGCTTAGTTGCTCTGTGGCATGTGGGATCTTCCCGGACCAGGGCTCAAACCCGTGTCCCCTGCATTGGTAGGTGGATTCTTAAACACTGCGCCACCAGGGAAGTCCCCTCTTTATCTTTAAAACAAGAGATGCGTAGCAGAACTAATTGTAGAAGAACCTTGTAGAAGAACATTCAATCAAACTAACTACAAAAAGAATTCAAAAAAGACATCCCGGCTTTACCACAGAAAGAGAAGTAAAGTGTGAAAAGTAAAGAGACCATTTAAGATCCTAATTTTAGTTACGAAAGGAACGAACATTTTATGCATGCCTTTTTTCCTGGGCAGCGCTCACTCAGGGTGGCCAAAGAATTCTTAAAATAGTGATCTTGTAAAATGCATCACTGATCAGTCATCTCCAGCTGTGCAAAATACCGGCTGTGAAGTCCTGGCAGAAACTACGCCAGGAGCTGGTTCTCTCCAGCACACATCAGAAGGCCAGTGAAGCTTTGCTAGGCACGCTTACCTGCAGCCCCACCTGTAGAGGCAGGGAGAGGGGTCCGAGCCCTGGAACGTTTAGAAAGGTACACGGGTGTTTCTGATGCCCATGAGAGGCAGGGAGCCTCTGCCCTCCCCACGTTATGCACAGATTCTCTTAGCACAGCCCTGTTGTGGCTCGTGGTCCAGCCCTGGCCATCTGCCATCTCTGTATAGAAGGGATGTCGTGCTACCTGACACAGAGAGAACCACAGAGAATGAGAGATCTCACTCAAGGATTTTGTGAGGTGTGAATGCTCTTAGCCTTTACTGGTAGCTTAATCAGATGGTGAAAGGACACGAGAAATGCCGCACTGGACCAGCCCAGCAGTTCCTCTTTCTTTTTGTGGCTGCGTTGGGTCTTCGTTGCTGTGTGCAGGCTTTCTCTAGTTGCAGCGAGCGGGGGCTACTCTTCATTATGGTGCGCGGGCTTCTCATTGCGGTGGCTTCTCTTGTTGCGGAGCACGGGCTCTAGCCGTGCAGACTTCAGTAGTTGTGGTATGTGGGCTCAGTAGTTGCGGCACACAGGCTGTAGAGCACCGGCTCAGTAGTTGTGCTGCATGGGCTTAGTTGCTCCGTGGCATGTAGGATCTTCCCGGACCAGGGCTCGAACCCGTGTACCCTGCATTGGCAGGCAGATTCTCAACCACTGCACCACCAGGAAAGCCCCCCAGCAGTTCCTTTAGCTCAGAATTTTGGTTCCTGATGAGTGGCTTGTGGAAGAAATCTCCACAGCCTCAATCTAAAACTCTCGAGTTTCTGAAGACCCCTGCTGGTTCTATTCCAGCCCACTGTGAACCTGCCATTTGTGGATTTAAGCAGAAAAAGAGTCTGTTTTCTTATGCTTTTTCTCTTCTTGTCCTTTTGTAGGAACTTTACCCAAAGTAGAACACTCAAATAATAATTGAAGTCATAACGTTATGTTAAAAACACAGACTTGTTATATGGTTTGCTACTGATTGAAATTTTGTGGAAGTTTTACCAATTAATAAAACAAAAAGACCAGAAATAGCTTTTTCTAGAATAGATTTATGGTTCATGACAATCACTCTGTGATAGAAAGAGGACTAAAGTTAAATTTCTAATGAAAGTAGAATAGGGACTTCCCTGGTGGCACAGTGGTTAAGAATCCACCTGCCAGTGCAGGGGACACGGGTTCGAGCCCTGGTCTGGGAAGATCCCACATGCCGCGGAGCAACTAAGCCCGTGCGCCACAACTACTGAGCCCTCGTGCCACAACTATTGAAGCCCGTGTGCCCTAGAGCCCGTGCTCCACAACAAGAGAAGCCACCGCAGTGAGAAGCCCGTGCATGGCAGTCAAGAGTAGCCCCCGTTCGCCGCAACTAGAGAAAGCCCACGCGCAGCAACAAGGACCTGACACAGCCCCCCAAAATAATAATAATAATAATAATTTTAAAAGAAGAAAGTAGAATAATTTACCTTTACATACCTACATCTAATAATTTACATTTCATACCTACACCACTCTAAAGGATTTATACCTCTGTAGGAGAAAAAAATGTACTTATACCTGTGCAGTTAGATAGTCAGATCTGAAGCCACCATTTAAAAAAGGAAAATGTTAAATAAACTTGGCAAATGTAAATTCTACAGCTCGTGGCTTATTCTTATAAAGTCAACGGGCCGACTTCTCAAAGACGGAGGAGAGCAAAGCCTGGCACCCAATAGCTTCAGTCTCTTATCTGCTGAACAAATGCAAGGTTATAATCTCAGATTGTAGAGATGAGGATCATTCTTCCACTCCTCAGCTTTTCGGAGTTTAAGAATTGTAGCAGTACTGAAAAATAACAATCTAGAAACAGATGAAGTTATCAAAATGTAACTTTGATTTCTTCTCCTGGAAAACTACACTTAGTTTATATGAACTGTGTGTGAACTGCAGGAAGTTTCCAGTGCTAGAAACTTCTTTTCTACTTTGATGCCTTCCTGCCTAGAAGTGCTCACAGCCTGCTTAGCTGTGAGTATTTTGACCTCAGGGCCCACTGGGTAAGGCATGTGGGGACCCTCCCAGGAGACCTGGTAACAGTGAAATGATCCTATTGTTGTGCTATTTATGGATCAACAACTTTGTACATGGAAGGAGCTGCTTGCCTTTTTGTCCCAGTACCAGGATGCTGCTAATGCCACAAAGTAATAACGTAGTTTAGGGTATCCTTAAGGACAGAACTTCCTCTTTGGATAATGAAATAAGACAATGAATTTCACAAGGGAATAAATATCAGTAACTGTTGTGGCTTCTGTTGAGGAAGAGGGGAAAAATGCCATTGTTTGTTCCCTACCATACCTTTTTCATACTTGGCTCTTGTAATGTGAATTTAAGAGTTTAGGAAGTGTGTAGAGCTGGTGTTTTGTTTGATGCTGGTGTTTTTTATGTGTTGTACTCCCTTACCTCTTACATTGTCTAATTTGAAGCAGCAAAAGAGCATTCAGTAGAAGTCCTTTACTGCAGCTTCATTCAGCTGAGCCTACAGCATACGGGGAGATCTGTGTTGTTGTTTGCCTGGTAAGTGGACAAGTGTGAACAGCACTTGTTAGCAGTTCCTTGGAACTGGGGCACTGAATGCCTAGTGCGATTGAGCCAAGGGGCTGATTTAGCCTCATCTCCTGGGTCAAAGGATGCTCTTTCTTTTCCTGCCCCCTTGAGTATCTCACTACAGGGTAGAAGGAAGCATCCCCCCAAGGTCAGCATGCACGGCAGTGGTGGGGCTGCTGTCATCCTTACCCCACCCTCTCCAAGTCACTTCTCTGGGAGCCCGGAAGTTGCTATATTATGAAATGGGCTCCTTTGACATTTATTTCTGGGTGCCACGGGACATCCATTCCTCCACCATTCTCATAATTACTCCCAAAGGCCTCTTGATCTAAAATGTTCACCATAGCATCCACCTGACTATGAGAAGGCATAGACAGTATCCATCTCTAAGATCTGTACCTAGTTCACCAGTGGTGCTGTTTGAACTTAATAATGTCAACACTTAATAATTGTGCCCGGTATGTGCTAACATGTGCCTTATATCATAAGGGAAATGGGCACAATTAGGTGACTGGTGTGAATGGCAAAACTGAAGCTTGAACGAGCAGTTTGTCTTCAGAACCTGTGCTCTTAACCTCTTTACTCCTTGTGTAATGTATTACTTTTCAAAGAATGAGGTTTTAGTCAAATCTTGAAATTTGCGTCCACCCAAAGTGGATAAATACAAATAAATAAAACTTTCAACAGTATGGTAGTCTGATGGTGATGTCTGATGTGTTCAGTCCATACAGATGGACTAAGTTGAACTTGCTCAGTGTTAGCATTTCCTTGGAACTGGGGCAGTGAATGCCCAGTCAGAGGAAGGAGGGGTATGAGCCGCAGTTCACTCTTAACCAACAAAAAGAGGAAGAAGGGCACCCAGCTGCCCATGCTGGTACCAGAACATCACCCTGCAGCCCTGTTGCCTGTGAGTCAGCAGAAGAAGCTTCTGCCTGGGAGGCGGGTTTCTAGCTCCAGGCATGTCAGTCAGCCTATGGGGGCAGTCACTTGTCTCTCAGATTCCCTTTCTGTAAACAAAAGTGATTTTTTTTGTGTTTTTTTTTTTGGCCGCACCGCAAGGTTTGTGGGATCCTAGTTCCCGGACCAGGGATCAAACCTGAGTCCCCTGCATTGGCAGCATGGATTCTTAACCACTGGACCGCCAGGGAAGCCCCCAAAACAATGATTTTTGAGGCCCCTTCCGGCTCTGAAATGTTGTAGCCCTGATGGAGAGTTGCCACTCACACTGGCTTCTCACCACTCTGAGCTGCCACCTGTCCCCACCCTTCTGCATGACCAGGAAGTAGTTCTCGGAACACTCATCACTTGAGGTGCTAAAGGGAGCACCCTTCAGCACCTGTCACCAGCCTCTGTCGCCAGGCTGCTTGCAGTTAGGGAGGGCGGGCAGAGAAATGCTGCATTTGGAGCATCAGCAGGGAAGTCTCCAGAGCCACTCCTGAAGGCTTCCTCAAAATGAGTGCCCAGAGGTCCTGTAATCAGGAAACCAGGACAGAGGGTGTTC